GGAAATTCTTCTGTCTCCTGTTTCCCACTGCACTGCCCCAGGTGCTGTCATCCCCCCCATCTGGTCTCTGGGTGTCCCCTCCTAAGGTGGGAAGGAGGGGGATTTTTCTTGAAATATAAACTTTCAGAGAAAAAAAAAAGACTTGGTAGAGCCTTTGAGTTCTTACTGTTTTTATTCATGTTTCATATGTCCATCCATCTAACTAACCAACCAATCAACCTGTATTTATCACCTAAGCTGTCTCAGTATCACGCTGGGACTTGAAAACACAAAATAAAAATACGACACAGAACAAGAACTCAAGGAGCTTCTAGTCTGGAAGAGAGAAGAACAGCACACCGCCTGCCACTTCATTGGGATTCAAGAATGTTCCCGGCACAATGTTAGGTGCTAAGGACACAAAAATAATGTGTCACTAAATGTGAGACCCCTGACCCAAAGAACTTATTCCTCACAGAGAGAACAAGGATGTTAAAAGTTGACTAGAACAAAGTCAAACTATGAAAACCAAGTAAAATGTCATGAAAACACAGGAAAATGGTGAGTAATTGAGTTTAGAGAAATTAAGGTGGACTTAAAACATCCAATTTTTCCTGGATGTTTACGCACATAGACACACATATTGCAGGCTCGAACTGGTCACTAGATGTTGCCCATGGCCTAGACGTGGCTGAGTGAAGATTTTAAACTGATTGGTGGTATTCATTTTATTATTTTCACACACATAATAATCCCTAGACAAAGTGGATTAGTCTGTTCATACTCATGATTTCCAATCTCAATTAAACCTTTAATAGCACTCAGTGAAGTCACAATTCTCTGAACATTTAGTTCTCCCATTATCTTAAGTGGCTCTTCCAAACCTATTTTCAAACACCATTTAAATTAACTGCCTAAACTCCAATAAAGTTTACTTTCCTTCCAGTTCTAAAAAACAGAGGACATTAGGTGGCTGTTCCCCTCTATGGCATTTCATTCCCTCAGTCTTTCCTCATAGAGGAAGAGATAATTCTTCTCCGATTCAAACTAGCCTCCTCTCACTTCCTCCTCCATCAAGGACATTTCTGTTTCTCGATTCAGCCTCATCTCTTCCAAAGGCTTCTTTCCTTAGCCTGAGAATACTCGGAAGCACCTCTCATCCTAAAACCCATCTCCATCCTTGTTCCTGTCCCTCTGCTTCCCTATTTCCTTCCATTCTCAGCCATCCTATTGAAAGTATATTCTAAAAAATCTAACCCAAAAGCTTCACAAACTTTAGTGCCTATAAGAGGCCCTTGAGGATCTTGTTAGAATGAATTCAGTAGTCTGGGGTGGGGCCCAGGGCTATGCATTTCTAAAGTCCCAGCCTATTATAATTTTCTAGAAATCATTATAAATACCAAAGGTCTAAAGTCTAATTCTTCTCATGTTCTTACCTTCCATTTGTTTATAGCCCTCTTGTTGTGGGTCTTCTAACCTCTACATTTTAAATCCTGCTCTCAAAAATCACCAGCGGCCTCTTGAATGACAGATCCAATGCACACTTTGCAGCCACAATAACCCCAGCCCTCTGCGGTGAATCAGGCATCCCAGAGTCTTGATGCAATCTACCTGCCTCACTTCTAGGGCTCCATTCCTTTCTGATTTTCCTCTGCTGTACCTAGCCATAATTTCTCACCTCTGTTTTCAATCCTCTTTGTTTACCTGCTCCTTAAAATTTTTCATGTCCATTAAGTTTTCACCAAGATGTATTTCACTCTGTACTCTCTTTTGAAAAATCTCATTTTGGAATTTTAATTTATGCCTACATACTATAGGGGCCCAAATCTTCCACTTTATTTCTGCTTGAACTCAGACTCATACACTGAACTGTCAAACTTGAATTGCTGCATCGTAAACTCAACATGTCAAACCTACCTCATTAGCTAATTCCTAAAAAACATGTTCCCTATTTTAAGCCACTTGTACCACCCTCAATCTAACCAAGATGAAATCTGGAATGACCTTGATTCCTTACCCACCTCTCATGCAATCATTAAGTTCCCGTAGTGAGGAAATACTGAAGGGTTTTGAGCAGAGAAGAAACATGTTTGGAAGTGTGGCTTTAGAAGGAATAAGCTTGCATGGTTACAGGGTGAATAGGAGCAGGGAGAGGCAGGAGAAAGAGTATCTTTTCCAATCATCTAGATGGAAATTAACGAAAGTTTGATGCAATGTGGTGGCAGTGGGAGCAGAATCTAGGGCAAAGGCAGGAAGCTTCCTTATAAGGACTAGCTGATAAGACAGCTGATGGGATGTCAGGTTGAGGGGTCTAGTATCATCTCCATAATGTTCTTTCCTTTTTCCTCTTGATAGCAAGCTCAGATATTCAACACACATCCTCTTACTGCACATTTAGAGTTCCCAGAATTTGTTGTACATTGTCACATGACAATATAGCATTTAATAATTGATAGGACATAGCAATCATACAGCAGGGATGTGGGACTCACACCCATTGCTATGACCTACCATTCTAATGGGGCTAAGCTTTCTTGTTTCATCCCAAACTGAAAGTTTTTCAAAGATTGAGGCTTTAGTTCACTTGGTAAATTTTTTTCAATGATTCCATATTTTCATAGATCTCTATGTATTTAAAATGAGATGAAGTTGCACAAATATTATTTTTAATTTTATTTAAATCAAACAATGTTGTGATTGATATGAAGAAATTTGCATAGAAACCACATGAATTTTATTGATATAAAATTTATAGACAAAATTCTAACACCTAATTATCCAATTCTGAAATAATTAAATGCAAAGAACACACATGTTAAACTGCCATAAACATGTAGGCATTACACAATGCACATAATGGAGTCATAAAACATTTTATACTGTTTTATTATAAATAATTGAAAACAATATTTCATTTTTCAAATCCAGGTAACAAAACGGTAAGTATTATGGTTTCTTTTTAATTAATTATTTCATTTTATTTTTGTAACATGAGTTTGTAGATAGTATTCCTTATCCAAAGACTGGTAAAAAAAAAAAATCTGTAGGAACACAAAAGAATAAAACACTCAATTTCTTTCACTTAAATGAAAACAATTGAGAAGATTTTTAGAGAAAGAGGCTTAATTGTGCTATGAAGGAACCACCAAGAACAGAAAAACTGTATAACACCTGCAAATGTCGCTTGTAAGATAAAAAGAGGTTGTATACAAACACATAAATATAAAAAAGACTTGATGGTAAACTTTAAAAAAATACTTCCTTAAAAATGTGTATAGCTTTATTCTCACAAATGGAGGAAACCCAGTAGGGCATAGTGGATCAAGTCACCAAGTCTGAAATTGGAATTGTTACCTTGAAAAAAACTTTTTTTTTCTAAGAAAAGAGACTCAACATCTGTTTCAGTTTTCTCATCCCATAGTAACTCATGTTTTGATAAAAACTGTTTACTATTGCAAGCTTGGATACTTAGAGGCAGAGAGAACTTTTTGATTAAATACTGTAGTAACTTCAAGTTGCCACAAAAGGCTGTGCCCAGAAATTCACTTAAAATAGATTTTCCCATAGGAATATTTTCATTAAGAGATTTATAGCAGCTAGCAGTCAGAATTTCTCTTAGTCAGGTGACTATGATTAATTTTCTTTTTGTGTGTGTGTTTCTCTTACCTATAATGTAGAAAGTTTTGCCAATTTCCTCCACTAATAATTTTAAAAAATTATTGCCCAAGGAAACAGCCTGAAGAAGAAAAACATGAAAAGCAATTTATTTCATTAAGTAATATAGATTTCTATGAACACTTGTGTTTATTTGCATCAATTAAGGACAATGTTGCATATTACAGATTAAACAGCTATTAGGCTTATCATGGATATAAACATTCTATGTACAATGATATTTATAATTCTTCTATTTTTCATAGATTTCAAAACATATCTTTTATAGAAACTGGACCAGTGTGAATCTGGTAAGCATGTTTCAGTTAACTAGCAAAATTTAAATTAGCAAGAATTAACAGGGTGAAGAATTAAAGTTCTAAAAACATTTTTAAAATAATGAAGTTACACATATGTATACACATGCAAAAAGATACTGTAAAATGAACTGCTCCAGTTTACATAGTTTTACTCCAACTTATACACTCTGCAATACTGCTTTCCGTATAATAGCAAAAGAAATATTGAATGCATGTAGATTATTTTAAGAACTTGATATATTTCACATTCTTTATACTTTATGTAGGTTATAAATATATTTGTATATCAGTCAGTCAGTTTTTAGAGTAATGAAAACCATAATATGGGAGGGGGTAATTTTTCACCTCATATGTCCTTATTTGATAGTGTCCATTTTTATGTGAAAGACATATCAAAAAGTTAAAAAGTAATGGAGTTGGTTTCTACCTCACACTGTTATTCTCCATGCTCTACAATTCATTATGGCTTACAAAAATGGAATTTACATTTGAAGATGGGTAGGTAAACTGAAATCAACTATTAGATTTTTGAAATCCATTGACATTTAATCAACTCAAAGGGCAATTCTGTTTTTCCTGAATTTTTATCACAATTTTGCAACAGTATAAACTTGTTTGTAGGTCTGCATAGATATAATGCCTTTCCAGCCGATCACGGTGGCTTTACACCTGTAATCCTAGCACTCTGGGAGGCCAAGGCAGGATTGCTTGAGCTCAGGAGTTCAAGACCAGCCTGAGCAATACTGAGCCCCATCTCTACTAAACACAGAAAAATTAGCCTGGCCTCGTGGCATGCACCTGTAGTCCCAGCTACTTGGGAGGCTGAGGCAGGAGGATCACTTGAGCCCAGGAGTTGGAGGTTGCAGTGAGCTATGATGACGCCACTGAACTCTAGCTGGGCGACAGAGTGAGACTGTGTCCCCAAACAAATAAACAAAATAAAAGATTTAACACCTTTCACTGGTGTAATACATCTTTTTCAAAGAATTATGGCAAGCCTGTTTCTATTCTTCATATATGTTCTTTTTTGTTGTTGTTGTTAATTCCTTTTTTTTCTGTTTTATATGAAATAAATCATATTTATCATCTGGCTACCACAGTTCCAAAATAAGATCCAGTAGTAGTTTGAAGTACAGCAAGCTGAGCAGTTTCTTCCCTTTTTAACGCATGACAGTTAGTGGCAATTTATAGTCAAGCCATATGAATACAGTGACCCCGAGTAGACTTCTGTGAACTCAAAAGGCTCCAAATCCACAGTCAAGAACCTTGACGACTTCACATAACTACCACTTGTTGCTGGAAGGGAAATGATATCGTTTGCTTCAGAAGTTTTCAAGCAGTTTCTCCTCTGGTAGCTTCTCCAGATTTCTTTTTGCTTTTATAGTTGCTTTTTTCAAAAATCCAAAGGTCGAATCATCATCGTTGTAGAACGTAGGGAGTAACTGGGCCCTTTGAAGTAGTGCCACTTTATCCCATTAAGTTTCCCATGGTTTTGTCCCGCAGTATAGAACATTCCATTTAGATTGGAGGGGCCACAAGCATCAAACCACCAGCCTGAAAAATTAGTTAATAATGAAAGAGAGAAGGAGAGAAGAAACAGTTATAAATAAATTGAACAGTTAGAAATTAATGGCATCAACTGCTGGGTAACTTGTTCATACTTGTGATTATTTGCAAATAGGAGGCATTCCAATAAGTATCTTCCCAGTAGTGGAACTGTTTTAAATGACTTTTGACTCAGGATTTGTATGAACAATCAGAAGAAGGGATGCTCCCACAAAAACCAGCTTTCAGTATGACTCCACTGGAACTCACTTCCATTAGTACGGGAAATCTCCGGGCTTCAAGATGCACTCTAAACCATGTATCTTAGGCCTAGGCCTAGATTTACATGTAGGACAAGTTAACTGGAGATACTCATAAGAAACATTCCACTCTAGACTATTATGGGAATAGAACAATTAATTATTAGTGAAGAAATTCAGAAGCTTAGACAACCAATTGACATCTAAATAGAAAGATGTTATCCATCTACTTAATAATTTTGTCAAGAATTGGCCCTAAGCTGCTTCTAAAATTACTGGGATACTGTGCAATGACTGTGATGCTCAAATTGAATTTTAATTAACGTGTCCGCTCTATAGTTTATTAACAACATGGGAAGTGTTCATTAATAATAGCCATATAGCTCCTATATAGCAATATTTTGTCTGTGATTATTTTAAGTGCTTTCCAAATTTAGTGAAAAGGAAAAGAACTTGATGAGTAACATGGAAATCTTGTGCTTGCAAAGCTTTCTGTAAGGATAACAGGATAACTCAGTTTTTTTTTAAATGAATTAAGTTCTTAAATTTTTAGATAAAGCATAGTACTTTTCCCCATCTCCTGAAGTAACACTACTGAAATCTTTAGGGAGAGATTTATGCCAGAGACATTCTGGCATATTTTTATTTGGATATAGCTGACCTCTCTTTGATTACAGACTTATACCTAAGGGACTAATAGCTAAAGAAAGAGAAAGCTGTACAGCTGATGTTTAACTGTAACATGAGCACCATCTTGCAGAAACTTTAGAAAAAGTAAAATGAAGAAAAGCTAATTCTCATTTTTCAATTTTGGAAGATGAATACAGCTGGGTTGTGTTTATAAAGTCACACTAGAGGCATAACAAGCTGCATTAATCACTAGTTCATACTGAGGAACTATAAGGTATGTCGTGATGAATTTGGAAAGACACTATATTCAGTGCTATTTCACCAACTGTATGCAAACAACATAAATGTTAATGCAGTCAAAACATAAGGGACAAGAAGGCTCTTGTTTGGAAAAGAAGGAGGGACTATAAAATTCCACTTTTTTTCCTGAGGATTAATTCCTCTAATATTTGCTCAGTACAGCTAGTAAAAATATGCTATTTATATTACAAAAGGCATTCTAATATTAGGGGATTCATTTACCCAGAAGACTCTCTCTAAAGGACTAAAATGAAGCTCTAAAATGAAATTCAACCTATTGTTTCCATGTTTTATCTTTCCTCTTCCTTTTCTGTGACCTCGAGGCACTCTTCCATCACATTAAGGAACCTTTCATAGTCTTTCAAATATCCACCATGGTCTCTGAAGCAAACACACTTACTCTAATTGTTGAGACTGATGACAACTCATAGAATAATCTTCCAAGCTACACCAGGGTATTCACAGTAAAAATGTGTGTTTTCTGTTTATTTGGTTTATAGAAAGTCACAAGAGTCCTGGGGGAGTTGGAAAGACAAGCATCTGTCGCAATAACAGTTTGGCAATAAGGGGCACAGGCTAAAGGATAGTTCATTGGGAAACTTTGTGCAAGCTTAGGAAAGAGACAAGAAACAGTAGGAGACTGAGAGAATCAGACAAATTGATCTGGTGGTTTTTTACTAATGAGTAAAGTGGAGTAGCATTTGTGATAAGGAGAATGGCATTTGGAGACATTGAGAGAAGGCCAGCATGGCTGGCTCACGGTCAACAAGAGGGACAGTTACCTGAAGCTAAGAGGGTCTGCAGACAAAATCACCCAGTCTTTGTTTGTTATCCTAAGAGCAATGGAAAGCCATAAATGTTTGGTGAGTGACTATAGGCTTATTGACTGATTGACTGACTCTGACTGGTTCTCCTTGTGAATTTTCTGTTGTCTGAAGTTGTTTAGTCTACTAAAAAGGTGTATTTGATAGACACCCAATACATAACACCTATGCTTATTGGATTCTTTTTTTTTCTTTCTTTATTTGTTCAATATGTAGCTATCATGGAATGTTGCACCACAATACTTGACAAGACAGATGTGTCCCTGCCCTCATGTAACTTACTTATAATGTGAGAAGCAGACATAATAATGTAAGCAAGTAAATAAAATAACTACAAATCATGACTAGAAAATGCCATGAAAAAATAATCGGGAGCTATGAAGGAGAAGAACTCAATTTTTCACATGCATGGAAGAAGTTGCTATTTATTGAGACCCAAAGGAGGAGAGGGAGGCAGCCACGTGAAGACGACTCTTCTGAAGACGACAGCACATGCAAATGCCATGAGGAAAAAGGACAGCTTGCTGTGTTTAGGGACTGAAGGGACTTCCATGTAGCCTGTGCACAGTGAACAAGGTGAGGCTTGCAGGAAATAAAGGTAGAGAAAGAGGCAGTCTTGGTGGAAAGTTGAACAATGTTTGTGGAAAAATTTATAGTTGAGCCAGCCAGTATGTCCATCATCAAGTGAATAAGTAAAACATTCTCTAGGAATGGGAACCAGTATTTAACCAGGGGAACCAGATCTGCCAGGTTAAATGTTTAATGAAACACTATTTAGAGACCCCATTCTATATGATCTGCCAAAGCCATTCTGAGCTTACGTGGCAGCATGATGAAGATGAGAAAATTGAGTATAGAATCAATTCCACAATTTAACCAATGGACAGACCTAGGGGACAGTGTTGAATGAAGCAAAATTCCTGACTTGAAAGCGTGCACAGTTTTGTGAAGGAGAGAGACAAACAAAATGTTAAAAAAAATGAGATGATGGCCATTAAACAAAAGGATGAGGAAAATTTTATGGCAGTACAGAGGCAGAAGGTCCTAACTGCCTGGGAGACCATAAGGCTCACTCATTTAACAGCTGAGCAGGGTCCTGAAGGATGGGTTTGCATTCACTGGACAGAAAGAGCTTCTAAACGCAGTCTGTACTCTGGAAGAGCACGAGAGAGTGTCTGCCAGCAGCTTGGCTTGGCTGGAGTGCCAGTGGGTAAGAGGTTTGAGAATGCAGGGCTAGAAAAATAAACACGAGGTAGAACATAGAGGTTTTCATTATCCTTTTAGAAATTTTCTTGTGGGCAATGGGAAGCCTGAAAGGCACTAGAGAAAATTTAGAAGACCCAGACTTTGATGTGGACTTCATCAATTAATAACCAAGAGATCCTAGGCAATAATACCAATGTTTTATATTAATTGAATAGTTAATATGGAGATATTTACATGCATTCTCTCATTTTATCCCTCAGGCAGCCTTATGTGCTGTGGCAAGTATCACAATAAAGACACCAATGCTCACACAGTTTAAGGAACTTTTTCAGGGTCACATTCATAATGCATGGATTATAATGTCTGATCAACCATTTTCATAGCACAGTTTTAAGGATCAAATAAGGTGATGCTCTATTAGTGCCTGTAAAATCCTATGTATTTTGTGTAAGTTTTCTAGGAAATGGGGCAGAAAGTTTAGGGCAATAACAAAAGTTTAGGGCAGAAAGTTTAGGGCAATAACATCTTCTGGAACATCATAATAGTAATTAAATAATGAAGATAAAGTCATCAGTACCAACATATTTTCTTATTTGCTGGGTGGGGCTTATTAGAGAAATATAAACATAATTTGGACCCAAATGAGTACAGTTGTACAATAACACACTATAGAAACTTGGCATCTAAGTACCTAACATGGGATTTTTTTTCAATGTTGTGTTTTTATTTCATGAGGAATTACAGAGGCTGAAGTTTTCAATTAACTCTTCACCTTAAAACTAATGGGCCATGGTTTATCAGAGAGCAACCAATAATGAAGATGATGAATCAACATGGCAAAAAGTAAAATATAAGAGCAATTATTTCTCATGACCATTTTAGTTTTATTATAACATAATCTGAACTTCAAAGTAGCAGAAATAGTTATTTCTGTGTAGGCACGTATCCTCTGTTTTCTCTGACACATGCAATAAAACAAACTAGACAAATAAACTGAAGAATTCTTTCATATCAAATATTTCAAATAGTGTGCCCACTTTCTACCTTTTGTTAAAAAATTAAGCATAATCATATATTTTAAACATAAATTCTGAAAAGATGTGTGTGGTTTCAAGGATATTTCTATAAAGCAGGCGAAAGTATAGCACACTCCTGGTTACTCATATGTACTCCTTAGTATTCCGGGGCAGTCACATGTACTCATAGGTATTTGGTAAAAATATAAGTTTGCATGGGGTGGAAGATGTTCTCAGGGAACAGAATCCAGGAGTATGCCTGGGTTTGCAGTTCCTCTTTGATAAGGCACCAAATAGCTGAATTATATATTCTCTGCAATCCTGGGGAAATACTAACTTTGTACTTTGTATGTGCCTGAGAATAACAAATGAGAAAGTTGCAAAAGAAGTTAATCTAGGAAAGGCACTTTAAGCCTGAAAGGACTCAAGTGATGCAAGCACAGGATGGAAGAAAGAAGCTTCCTTCTGCTATTGGGACACTGATAAAAATGTCTCAAATGTTTTAAGGTTGGCAACAGCTGAGATGTCCTTTGCCAAGCATTTTTCTTCATAACCTGTAACCTCATGTATATTTTAATAAGAAATCTGAGACGCATGTTTCTAATTCATTTACACTTAACTCATTAAAATTTAGCTTTGTAATAACTATCCCAGGCCTTTAAAAATCATTTGAGTCTTTTATCTCTGAAGCAGAAAATTCACATTTTATCACTAATAAATGAAACATTGCCCAGAAAATAGGAACTTGATTCTAAACTTTGTACTCAGGAAGT